AGCTCTGGCAACAGCTCAACTTACGGTGAGGGAATTCTTTCGAATATGCCATTGCAGTATCTATGCAAGGATTAGACATAATTGTGGAGTAATTAAGGCATGGATTTAACAATCACAGTGGCAGATTCCTCGGTGAGGCAGGCAGCTGTGGGTAGGAGGAAAGGCTGGTCTTTGCCCCGAGAGGCAGCTGTGCTGCTCCCCCCGCACACCCTGGAGGGGGATGTCCTTAATGTAAGACAAACTGAGGGGTGAACCCACCCTGGGGAGAGCTGGGCTGTCCACATGGCTCAATGTGTATTCTTCCCAGAGTCTTCTGGAGTGTTCTGGCAACTTCAGGGCATGGAGCGCACCTACCACACATTGGAACACAGTAGAGTAGCAACAGTGTCCTGTGGTCCAGCAGACCTGGAGTCCAGCCTGGAGGCCAGGCCTATCCTCAGGCACGTGCAAGGGACAGGGCCACAGTACCTGGACAGGTGCTTCTCCCGGGGGACAGGGAGACGGTGTGCAGGTGAGTATAGGGGGTTGGTGCCTGGCATGGGGCACTGGCAAAGGTTAGCAGTGGTGGTGGCAGTGGTGGTGATGGTGGAGAATGGAGGGAAAAGATTTTGGAATCAATGCTAAAGAAGCAAAATGCTTTTGGATGGAAAGATTCATGGAAAAGCTCTAGCTTGGGTGGGGGAGAAATAAACATTCTACAGGGCCTGGGTCTGCTGACAGACCTCTAGTACAGAGGCCAAGGCGGGGGCGCTCAGCCTGAATGCAGGGATGAGGGTCAGACCTTCCTCCATGGGCCTCCGCACGGCTCAGAGCTGGGAGCACTGCTGAGACCAAGGGGAAGGGCACAGATCTGGGAGTGGAGAGCGGCCCCTTTTTCGCCCTGTCCAGGGCCCCACACCCTGGCTGGTTTGGCTTAGCACCTCTGCCTGCCAGGGTGTTGTGAGGGGTAAGTTCTGAGCACTCCACAGCCTGTGCCCATAAAGGGGAGCGGGACCCTGCCCAGCGCCTGGGACCCCCTCAGGCCTGACGTCCACCTCCCCACTGACGGACAGAAATTGGTGTTTCGCTGTGCCCAGAAAATTTACACCAGAGAAATGGGCAAATGCTACAAATCAGGAACTCCATCCGTCCCCCCCCCCCCGGGGAACTGGTCAACCAGGGAACCACGGATGGGGGAAGCAGTGAGCAAGTACGCTCAGCTCCCACACACACCGCAAAGGCTTGTTCTAGAATTTCACCTCCATTTCCTGCCCTTCCTCTTGTCCTGAGGCCTAGATCTGGCTCAGAGAAAGCCAGGCCTCTGCTTCTGATGCACAGAACAAAACCCTACACATCACAAGTTTATCTTTTTTTTAAAAAAAGGGAAAACCACTAGTTCTGTTTACCTTAAAAAGATCGTATGTTTGATAAAATTCAACATTCATTCATGCTAAAAGCTCTGGAGAAAATAGGATTAGAAGGAACATTTCTAAAAACAATAAAAGCCATTTATGACAGACCAATAGCCAATATTATACTTAATGGGGAAAAGCTACAACCAATCCTCCTAAAATCAGGAACAAGGCAA